CCCTTGTGGATGTCATTGAAGAACTTGGAGGCGTCCTTCCCTGCCCAGGCGAGGATGGTCGTGGGGCCGCCGGGATGACGATCCATGAACTCCGAGAGGTCATAGACCTGCCATGATGCTGCGCTTTGTGGATTGGGTGTTTAGGGTTTGGGCGAGTCGTGATAATAAGCCCAGCATTGGTCTACATCCTCTTGAGTATACATTGGTGTTCTGTCGCTTGTTGACCCTGACCTGACCTCTGCTGCGAGCCCTCACTCCCGGACCTCCGGACAACAAGCCCAGAACCCCACCCTAACCCCCCAGGTACCTTCTATACGAGGGTACTAGAGCCCCTAGGGCCCTATATAGCAGGTACCTGGGGGGTTAGGGCCAGGCACCTTGCCGTTCAGAGCCACCCAGCAGTTCTCAGGCGTGCAATGACGGTTCACCTGGGCAGAAGTGCATCAGTGCTTTAGAGTGCATAGTTTCGGCTGTAGGGTTTAGGGTTTAGGGTTTAGGGATAGGGGCATGGGATTAGTTGAAAATTTACCTATTGACTGTGATGAGACTATGCATCAAGGGCTTTTAAGAATAGGTTGGACTAACCTTAAAACAAGGCCAAGAGGCTTCCGAAGAGTAAGATTCAAGCCCAACTCCAAGACTCCTATAGACTTTATAGGACCTTAGCCCTCAAAGGACATGTTCAACGGAACCTCAAGTTTAGGGTTTAGGGTTTGGGGTTTGGGGTTTAGGGCTTAGGGTTTAGGGTTTAGCCTTTAGAGGAACCCTTTACATCGCTCTGCGCTTCTAGGGCTCAGGAGTTTCGGAACAGGCCCTGCAGGCTGCGGGGCATTGGCTAAATGCTGGACTCTACCTGTACCGGCCCGCGTGGCTGAGGTTTTGGGGGGTTGGGCTTAGGGATTAGGGATTAGGGTTTAGGGTTTAGGGTTTCGGGATTAGGGTTTAGGGTCTAGGGTCTAGGGTCTAGGGTGTAGGGTTTAGGGTTTAGGAAGTATAAGTTAAGCCAGGAGAAGAACGGGGAGAGCACAGGAGGCCCCCGAGACTTCTTCCTTGATCCCTAAACTCTAAGCCCTCAACCCAACCGTAACCTACCAGAACCTACTTTTTTGTAGGGTCCCTATAAATCCTATATTAGGTTTTATAGTAGGAACCTACAAAAAGTGAGGTATGGTAGGTTAAGGAAAGCCTAACAAACCCAAGCCCCTGAACCATATGGGTACTTCTCTAAATTAGGGCCCCTTTTAGGGTCCTTTTCATAAGGGTGCCGTCCTACGTTGGGGACCCAAAAAGGGGCCCTAATTTTGAGAACTGCCCATCTATACCCAGCCTCAGAGAGTGGGATGTTCTTGGAGATGGCGGAGGTGCCGGGCTCATGGATCACTCTCTGCTTGAAGTCAGGGACCTAAGCCGTCGAGATGTAGGGCCTGGCGCTTAGAGGCAAAGGAACCTGAGGTGTAGAGGTTGGGGATGGGGAGATAGGGTTTAGGGTTTAGGGTTTAGGGTTTAGGGTTTAGGGTTTAGGGTTTAGGGTTTAGGACAGACGGATCTTTCGGGCTAGGATGCAGCACCTGGGATCTGCAGCTCATTTCGGACCCTGGCTTGGAAAATCCGGTTGCGGGTTCTCGGTGCAGAATGCGGAAGTTCAGAGAATAGGGGGCCTCCTTTTTTGATCCTGATTTATGTTTTTTTGATCCTGATTTAAATTTTTTGATCCTGATTTAATTTTTGGCCCCTATCCCCCCAATGCAGACCTAATCGTAGGATCCTCGGTACAAGGACAAGGACAGAAGGGAGCCCAATATTAAGAAGCCCTCATGCCCTCATGCTGCTATCCCGCTCAAACTGAAACTCCATCGTAGCGGCTTGCAAACGAAAACACACACACACACACACATGCACATGCACACACGGGCACGCACACACACACACACAGCTACACCTCCCTGTAATCTCGAGGCCTACCACGCCACCGTCACTGTCACAAGCTCGGAGGTTTGGGGCTTAGTTATTCTTTCGGGCTCAGGGTCTAGGGTTCATAGCTCAGGGTCTAGGGTTCATAGCAACAAGGGCAG